TTTAGTTGGACGATCATTTATTTTTCAACAGGACAATGACCCCAAACACACCTCCAGGCTGTGTAAGGGCTATTTGACCAAGGAGGAGAGTGATGGAGTGCTGCGGCAGATGACCTGGCCTCCACAGTCACCGGACCTGAACCCAATCGAGATGGTTTGGGGTGAGCTGGACCGCAGAGTGAAGGCAAAGGGGCCAACAAGTGCTAAACACCTCTGGGAACTCCTTCAAGACTGTTGGAAAAAAATTTCAGGTGACTACCTCTTGAAGCTCATCGAGAGAATGCCAAGAGTGTGCAAAGCAGTAATCAGAGCAAAGGGTGGCTATTTTGAAGAAACTAGAATATAAAACATGTTTTCAGTTATTTCACTTTTTTTTGTTAAGTACATAACTCCACATGTGTTCATTCATAGTTTTGATGCCTTCAGTGAGAATCTACAATGTAAATAGTCATGAAAATAAAGAAAACGCATTGAATGAGAAGGTGTGTCCAAACTTTTGGCCTGTACTGTATATATATATATATATGTATATACGTGTTAATATGTGTATATATATACGTGTTAATATGTGTATTTTTTTAACTTTTGACAGAGCCAGGCTAACAGCTATATATACATACATATCATGGCAACATCCAGGAGGCATCACATCTTTATACAATTATGTCAGAAGGAAGAAGGACAATAGGGTGTATGCGTGTGTGTTTGCCTTTAAATGTAAGCGAATATAAAAAGAGTAGCCGCACACATCCAAAAAGTGAAGATGGTGCTGGACTAAAAGAATTAAACTACACAAACAAAGAAAAGTCCGCACACTTCAGCTCCCTTTTTAGGTCCATTTATTCCATCATCATGGATCCTCTTATTGTGTAAGCACAATAAGTGGAAGTTAATGTGCCTGTATCTGTGTTTGTGCCCATGTGTGTGTAGAGACAAGGAAAAGGAGAAGTAGAGGGAATGTAACAACCATTTCACATAACTGCTACTGCATATGAAAACATGTCCTTCCCCATACGGCTTTGAAATCTGCATGGCACAAAATTATTTGAGCTCCCTCTGGTGGGATAACTATGGACATAGACAAATAATTGCATAAATATTTGACAGTCCTCTGAAAAGTATTTTACATTACATTACATCACCTGTATATGTATAGGTTAATAGGCTTCAGCCAATATTCTTTTTTCTTATTTTGCACAATGAATGAATATTACATACACTGAAAAGCATTCTATTTCATGTCTCCATCGGCTGGTGGGCCACCATGATAAATGTATGCATGCATAATATGATGTTAATTCCACCAAAGAAGAGACTTGATGATCACTAAAATAAGGTGGGGAAAACAGTGGATATATCAGTATCAGTATCGCTTATCGGCAAAAAATCCAATATCGTGCATCCCAAATTTCTTATGGAAGGGATAATGCCCTTCGAGGTGTCCATTATTAGAAAATAATGGCCATTATTTCCTAATAATGGACACCTCGAAGGGCATTAATGTAATTGCCAAAGAACTCTTTAAATTCATCCTATTGTGCATTTTGTAATAAAATACTGTTCATTCTAAAATAAGTCTCTCTCAATTGAAATACTGTTATGCATATTTACTCAAATGAAATGTTAAATGTCAAAAATCTTTGATCTCAAACTACATTTTGAGCTCCATGTGAGGTCACTGACCCAGTTCTCACTTTGGAAAAAGTCATCCATGTTTTCATTGTCATATGTTAAACACCTTTTCAACTGACTCAGTAAATCTTCCACAGATGGACTCCAGCTGGTCTCAGAGTCAGATAAGGAGGACCTGGTGTTAACCTATCTTGGCATAAAAACTGGAAGTAGAGGCGAAACAGCTTGCCTGGCTGGTCTGTGTGTTTGGCTACCAACACCTCTAATCTTTTGAATTAATACATTTTACCTAATTTGTTTGACAAATATTTAAACAGCAAAGTGACAATGTGTGCTTTGTGCTGAAACTAGTGTCTTCTGCTACAACAAAAAGGGTAATTGAGGCACATTGGGACTAAACCTTGCATCCTCACCAGGATGACAAGATTACAGGCAGCTCCACACAGCTACTTCACCTGACTGTTTGCCAAAAAGTAGCTCCAGCATGTAATTCCCAATAAACGCCCAAAATCCTGCTTTCACATTCTGTCCCATTAAACAATGAGAGTGAGAGCCAGGCCAACGGTTTCTTCTTGCTTTCAGTCTTTGTGCTAAGCTAGACTAACCACATCCTGACTGCCCAGACACATCAAACTGACAGCACAAATCTAACGACACGAGGGTCAACTGTTGTGTTACTTCTGAGATGGGCAAAAAAACGTTAAAATGTATTTTGATACAAAATACCCCTCAAATAAATGTATCAAAATAAAATACAAAATACTGGTGCCAGAAAATGTATCAAAATAAAATACATGTATTTTGTACTTTCAAATACAGAAAATACTTTTTTCCTTTCTCTTTTTGGCAATGACCCACAGCTCTATAGGTCACTCTGTCAGTCGGTTAGTTGGTTGGTTGGTTGGTCGGTCCACAAAAGTCCTTGACCAAAAATGCTCAAATTTTGCATATTGCAACTAGAGACCATGAGTAACTATACCAGAAAGAATCCCCACGATTCGTCCATAGGTGGCACTATACTAACTGATTCAATTCTTTTTGTGAATAACTCAAAAAGTCCTTGACCAAAAATGCTCAAAATTTACATGCTGCAATTAGAGACCATAAGTAACTATGCCAAAAAGAACAACCATGATTCATCCATTAATGGCGTGATAGTAGCAAATTTGGTCACAGCTATTGCAAATTTGTGCTTGTTTTCTCACAATTTGGTATAGCAGAGTATTCAGGTTTGGGCTATAGGATATACACAGTTAGCAGTTACACAGTTAATAAGACAGTTAGCATAAGCATCGCTAGCTTGATATTATAAATATCAACACCATGTATTTATACAATAGGCTATGTATCCAGACTCAGACATAAATCATACATCAAGCCAGCTGACATCTGTCACACTCAGATAAAATATTTACCTTGACAGACAATTGGTTGAACTTGGAAGATGTGAGCAGCAAGGTAGTCCACTGGTAGTGTGGGTCCATCCACGTGAGCAGCATGCCTGGCAAGTCTAGTCTAGCTGTGCTGTGAACTGTCCACCAATGGTCTAGCTAAACAGCAGCAAGATACTGTAGCTACTGTAGCTAGTTAACTTGTTTGCTATCTAAATTGGAGCCTTTGGAGCCCTGTTCTCAACTGTTTTCAAATGAAAAAGAGAAAAAAAAAGCTACGGACATGTCCCTAAAATATCATTTATTGATTCAGATTTAGATTCAGACAACTTTATTGATCCCATGTGAGGCAATTCATTTGTAGCATACTCATCCCAAGCATCAACCACAACAACCTACAATTTCCTGTTAGGCACAGTCCAGTAAAACAGACCACTAGGTCATTGAAGGGCACATTGAATGGCCCAAGTTTAAAAAAAACATATAGATACAAATATTTAAAAAAAAAAAAAAAAAATACAAAATTACTCCACTCAAAAGTATTTTGTTACAAATTACATTTGCTTTTATCGGCCTTATCAAATATAAATTACAAAATACTCAAATGTAATTGAAATACGTATTTTAAATACAAGTAATAGAAATACTGCCCATCCCTGCGTCGCTTCACGTTGCAAGTGCCTTGGCCAAAAAAGTTGCATTTGAGCACACCGCAAAGACTACAGCTGACAGCCAACTAGCACATACATTCTGTACCTGTGTGGGAGGAAATAACTCTCCTCACCAGCAGACAGAGGTACTCTGTATTGGTCATTCAATGAGGGAACCCAGGGGACTGTCAGGAGTGATTCAAGATGCTAGTTAGCAAGTTGGCACTTTAACCAAAGGAAACAACAAATTATTTTTATTGTGCACTAGCAAACAGTTAAACAAACAATTACAAACTGTTTCTACTAAAGAGCTAAATGGCTAAAAACAGTTCAATAAGGAGAGACTCGTTCTGAGAGAAAAGCATAGGTATTTATTTACATGTGCACATGAGTAAGAGAAATGTGAAAAGGCGATTGGACCCCATCATGATGTCATATATTCCAGAGGATGGTAGAGACATACTGTAGTACATTAAGGACGGCTGATTGGAGGAAGCGGTGGGAATGGGATAGAGAGAGAATTGTGAATGGATATAGCATAAAGAAAGTCTTCCTGACTGAACTAATGCTGAGCTTCATAATCTTACCTAATATAACAAGTTTTTTTCGATCTCCCTCTTGAGTGGTTTGCCTTCTTTCCGTACTTCCATTTCTCTTCTTGTGCGCTGAGCCAAACAGCCAATCAGAGTGATTTCTTTCACTGACAGGCTCTGTTGGCTCCAACCTCAATTCAGTAAATCAGCTGAATTAAAGCCAACTAGCAACAAAACTAGGGTGACAGACGTTCATCGACAGCCTGGCATTAGCCAAAGGCAAACTGTCGGCTTGATGTGTCAGGGTCCTAACATACGGATGTCGATCTTATCTCACTGTGAGTAAGACAGCAAGTTAGTGTATTTCCAAAAAAGGTTGTACATTTCCTTTAAAGGTCGAGTTGTCTGCAGTGTGTAGAATATTGATTGTCAGCATAATCAGAAACAGTCATCTATCAGGAAAATTTTTCTTTAATAAAGGCACCATCAATTGGATTTGGAGTGTTTGTGTGGAGGGGCCTGATAAATGCAAAATATGTGTATATGTGAAGTTGATATAGTGGATGCATAATTACTAATAAAATATATTCCCAGGGGCGTTGGTGGCTTAGTAGGTAGAGCAGGCACCCCATATACAAGACTGTTGCCGCAGCAGCCTGGGTTCAAGTCCAGCCCGTGGCCCTTTGCTGCATGTCATCCCCCCCCAAACTCACCTGTCCTGTCCCTTAAAGGCAAATGCCCAAAAAATATCTAAAAAAAAAAAAAATGTTCTCAAAAAAAAGCTCCAACAAACATTTGTGAATATAATCATTTATTTACTCCAGTCCCAAGAAATGTACACACATGTTCGCTGAAGGTATAAAATTTGTCTTAAATAAGCAATTGTTCTATTTCATATCCATGTAAATTCTTATTGTTTAATTAAAACCCCTGAAGACTTCTTTTTTTTAAAAAATGACAACAATCTGACACCACAAACAACCAAAATCATCAAAGAGCACAACAAGAGTTAGTAGTTAGCAAAAGCCGTCCAGCAGTTTGCAGTCTGACTTTGGGTTTGATGAGGGCGTTGCTCCTCATTATTTTTTTTTATTATTATTTTCATTTTTTATCAGCTTTATATCAAAAAGAAAGAAATATCTCACTTTGAAAATGAGACAAAATAAGCGCGTGCTGTAAAGTTTGAACAGATGATGAATCTCAGAAAGGATTAAAGGCTTAGGTTGTTGGTTTGAGCTGGTGGATACTCAACATATTGCTGCTGCTGCTGCTCCTGTTCATATTGTGCAGTGTCTGTTGTTTGATGTCATATTGTAGTTGCAGCTGGTGTTGCTGGTGTGTTTTTTCTCATTGCTGATTCCATTATTGCTACAGTTGTTGCTCCCATTGTTAGTGGTGTTGCTCTGGAAAATCACTCTATGCTCCAGATGCTGACAGATGTCCGGTGTGATGTCATCCTGAAAACGGTTTCCTTAACGGGAAGATGAGGCAATTGCCCACTGAGACAACGAATCAGTGCAGGTGAGTGTCAGTCTGTGGGTGGTCTGTTTTTGGTTTAGGAAGATGATTATAAACCTGAGGCTGATGAACACAGGGACTCTGGGGAGAGGGAGAGAGACAGAAAGAGAGTTATTGTCATTGAACAGAACAGTTTAGTTTCCAGATTTGTAGTTTGAATGAATGAAATGAAATTTATTTTTGAACATGAGAATCAGCAAGGAAGCATTTTTCACATGACATTTCTCACAGAAAATAAATAAATTAAAGGTCTCTACATGTTCAAAAAAGGAGAAGGAAGAAGCTAACTTATGTTTACCTTCCCCTTTTATACATCTTAATTTTCTAACATTGCTACTGTTTATTTTATCAAAGTACCGCCATTTTTCCAAATTAGAAACTCTTGATTCATCTGAGGTAGTTAGTTCTGGAAATAAAAAACAATATATACTGAAAATATAATACAAGAGAATATTTGAAAAAAAGGAAAAAAAATGCAGACTTTATGGCTAAACAATTCAGTACAACCTCTTAAAGTGGTAATGAAACATTTGGCCCACCTTCACCTCAATTGTTATAGTTTTCTAATGTGAGAATTTTAAACTGTCTTTTGAATTGAGCAATGTGTTTACTATCTTTGATCGTTACAGGTAAATTATTCCACAACCTCACCCCATTGACAGATATGCACATGCTTTTGAGTGTGGTACGCACCTTGGATTGTAAGAGATTCCCTCTCCTTCTTAAATTATAACCACTTTCTTTTTCTTTAAACCATTTTTGTATTTTATTAGGGAGTAAGTTGTTTTTTGCTTTGTAAATAATTTGTGTGGTCTTGATATCCACTATATCCATAAATTTTAATGTTTGTAATTTTAAAAATAAATCATTTGTTTGTGCATTATAGCCAACATTGCTAACTATTCTATTGCCTTTTTCTGCATGGTGTATATTGTCTTTAGGGTGGATTTGTAGGTATTACCCCACACCTCAGCACAATAGGACAAATAAGGAAGAAAAAGTGAGCAGTATAGAATGTACATTGTTTTCTGATTCAGTTTGTTTTTGACTTTTCTAAGTATACCATTAGTCTTTGCCAATTTAGAGCAAATGTGTTTGACTTGCGGTTTCCAGCTGAGATTGTGATCAATTATTACTCCCAGGAAGGAATTTTCATAAACTCTTTCTAATCTGGTGTTATCACACAGTACTTCAATGGTTAAATCTTTTGGAATTTTGCGTTTCCCAAAAATCATAAATTTGGTTTTCTTTATATTGAGAGATAATTTATTTGTATCAAACCACTGTTTTAGCTTGGCTAGCTCTTCAGAGACGATTTTTAACAGCTGTTGGAGGTTCTCTCCTTTACAAAAGATATTTGTATCATCTGCAAAAATTACAAATTTCAAAATATTAGAAGTATTAATAATATCATTTATGTATAATATAAATAATTTTGGTCCCATTATTGATCCTTGTGGTACACCACAAGTTATATTTAGGAGCATTGACTTTTCCTCTCCCATCTGCACAAACTGTTGTCTATGTTCTAAATAACTTTTTATCCATCTGAGCCCTACACCCCTAATCCTTTATCTTTCCAGTTTTTGAAGTAAGACATGATGATTAATTGTGTCAAAGGCCTTTTTAAGGTCAATAAATACCCCTATGGCGAACTTCTTTTCATCAATGCTGGTAGTTAGTTCTTCCACAAGGTCAATTAGAGCCAAAGATGTAGATTGATTTGGTCTAAAACCATATTGACTATCAGTTAAGATCTCATGCTTATCAATAAAACTGTCCAATCTGGTGGCAAATATCTTCTCCAAGATTTTAGAAAATTGGGGAAGCAATGAAACTGGCCTGGAGTTAGTATAAAGATTCTGCTCACCAGCTTTAAAGATGGGAATGACTTTGGCTATTTTCATCTTAAAGGGAAAGGTGCCCAGTTTCAGTGAGAGATTGCAGATATGTGCTATGGGATCTGCTATAGCTACAATTACTTGTTTAATTAAAAATAGATCAATATCATCACAATCCCTTGATGTCTTGTTCTTAAAATTATTAACAATGTCAATTATTTCGGTTTTATCTGTATCTCTCAGAAAAATAGTAGCTGAGTTTCTTTCTTCAAAAATTTGTGAGACACCTCGCCCTTGTGGAGAGATTATCTCATCGGCCAGCTTGGGCCTGACATTTAAAAAGAATCTGTTGAAGCCTGCCACCACTTCATCACTGTTTTTAATTATCTTACCATTATCAAGAAATTCATTTGGAAATCCCGCACTTGTTTTTTTTCTTCTAATAATTGAATTTAAAATTTTCCAGGTGCCCTTTATGTTATTTTTATTGGTTTCCAACAATTTACTATAATAATCTTTCTTACATTTTCTTAGAATATCCGTTAGTTTATTTTTATATGTCTTATATTTAATTTCTTTTTCCTCAGTTCTGTGCTTGATAAAGTCTTTATATAATTTATTCTTTTTTTGCAGGCATTCAACAGACCCCCCGTAAACCAGGGGTTATCTGGACATTTTGATGTTTTCTTTGGTTTGTTGTCAAAGTGAACACAGAAGACACATGTGATCCATCAGCTGACTCCCTTCCATCAGTCAGCTGATCCATCAGTTGTTTGGGCTGATTAAAATCAGCTGATGTAGCTGGGATGTGGGCTGAGCTTGACATTGTGTCCTGCCCTGGTCCCGCCTGAACTAACGCTGTTCTCAGTTTGGGTTTCCAATGTTAAACCTAAACCTCCAAATGTAGCTCAAATTTTATGCCAGTTTTAAGAATATGGGCAAAGGAAAATGAGGATTTATGTGCTTTTACTATGTGTATGAACTACACAAATATTGGAAGTTGGTTAATTGAGATCAGCAGTAGATGGTGCTTTTTCTCCAGTCAGGTGCAGAAGAAGAGGGCGCAACCATAGACGATAAAAATGGGGGGACTTTTGTTTCCAAGCTCAAGAATGAAGTTTAATGTTTAGGTTTCTGCTGTGTGTTGATCACAAAGATCACTGAAATGAAACTGAGAATCAGAAAGTGACATGTGGGAAATTAAGTTTGGTGACAAAGCAACAACTGTCCCTGGGATTGTGTTTAATACTGAAGACAAAGCATATCAAAACAATGCTTTTTCAATATCTCAACTTCCTGAATATAAACATGTGCTATAAAAGCTTTCTGCTTTCATCAGTGTTTAATGAACACAGACAGGACTTCACCCAAACAAAATAATTAAATATAAGATATACTTTATATACACCAGAATATAGTGAGGGTTAGGCTTAGTTTGTGTTTTGTGTTCAATCAGAAAATATCTAATAACAGAATATATAAAGAGCACTTATGGAACATTAAGGACTTACAGTCAGTTCAAGACATCTTTTGGGAAACTGGGACATAATAAAAAATTGGGGGACTTTTTTTTTAAATTCAATTCAATTTCAATTCAATTTTATTTATAAAGCCCAATATCACAAATCACAATTTGCCTCACAGGGCTTTACAGCATACGACATCCCTCTGTCCTTAAGACCCTCACAGCGGATAAGGAAAAACTCCCCAAAAAAAACCCTTTAACGGGGAAAAAAAAACGGTAGAAACCTCAGGAAGAGCAACTGAGGAGGGATCCCTCTTCCAGGACGGACAGACGTGCAATAGATGTCGTACAGAACAGATCAGCATAATAAATTAACAGTAATCCATATGACACAATGAGACAGAGAGAGAGAGAGAGAGAGAGAGAGAGATGCAGGTAATGACAGTAGCTTACAACAACATTAATGAAAGTAATAATATTATAGTTATAGTTCTGGCTACTGTGGTAAAATATGTTGAAAGTATGTATTAATATCTGAAAGTATACTTGTGTGACAATAGTCATATGTGTATAATAACAGTAGAAGTATGACTAATGACTAATGATGGCAGCAGCAGCAGGAGGCATCTGGCAGGACCACGGCAGCAGCGCAACCACACACGTCACACTGTCCAGGCACTGCTGCGGTATGAGTTATTCTGAGAGACAGTGGAGCACAAAGGCTCCGGAGAAGAAGCCGAGTTAGTGACATCCAGAATGGCCGAGTTAGCAAGATGCAGTAATAGGATGAGAGTGAGAGAGAGAGAGAGAGAGAGAGAGAGAGAGGGAGCCCGGTGTATTATAGGGGGTCCTCCGGCAGACTAGGCCTAAGTCAGCCTAACTAGGGGCTGGTACAGGGCAAGCCTGAGCCAGCCCTAACTATAAGCTTTATCAAAGAGGAAAGTCTTAAGTCTAGTCTTAAATGTGGAGACGGTGTCTGCCTCCCGGACCGTAACAGGAAGATGATTCCACAGGAGAGGAGCCTGATAGCTGAAGGCTCTGGCTCCTGATCTAAATAAGTGAGGACAATTTTCAGGACATATTTGGAAGGTATAGGCACATTTTTGGTAGAGTAGGAAGAGAGAGGTTAGAGAGTGAGTCCAGTGGGGACATGCTGTTAAGTGAAAAATACTTAGAGTGTATTTAGAGAGAGTATTTAGAATGTGTAAAATTTAGGAGTAAGGTCATCAGGAGAATTCAGTGCGAGAATTCAGCGGGTACCACGGAGGAGGTAATCAGCTTGCTCTGTTAACTCAGGCTCTCTGCACGTTCACAAAACAACAAGTCAAATAAAACATTCAGCGCATCATTTGACACTTACAAATTATAGACAGCATGCTGCCTAGTTCCGCCTTTGAAGAATATTTAAATAGTACTGAAGCAATACTGTTGCTTCAATTAAGGCGAGAGAGGAATGCTGGCAGAAAGTTACCAATTGTGTAAATTACCAAGTTTACATGGCCTAAAAAAATATCCTATCATATTCCCTCCACTGGGAATCTATATCGCTCATTTACTGACTATTGACTATAGAGTAACACTATCCTAAAGAAAAATAACTTTTTAGCCGATTTCAAGCTGAAACTTGGAACAAAAAGGTTAGGTCTGCAGCATCACACACTGTCATGGGCGAGCTTGGCTTGGCTTAGTTCAGTTTGGGCCATCAGCACAGTGTGGCAGGGATTTGCATTTCCATTTCAACAGGGCTACCTTCTTGAAGGTATGTCTTTAACTGA